TGTCCCTGAAATACTTCTGCTACTTCGCTTCACTCCATATAAAATCATATGTAATAATAGCTTATATACCAATCTCTCTGTCGTATTTCATTGTCTATATATATTTTATACAATATATCTCACTTCAGATTAGCATGCTGGGCAGGGTATCTGTTAGTCGTGCACTTGTTCCCCTCTTATGTGTTCTTTTCCCGTTTTGTTTCCTTAGCTGCCGCTCTCTGTGTTGGGTGGTGTCATCCTTGTGCCTCTCTCCTAGCTGGCGTCGTATTATGGAAATTCAAATCCGCAACGATTAGAGGCAACATGTGGAAGACTGAGTTTCGTCCTTCCATACATACACACATATCTCTCTCTCTTTCTCTCGCTCTCTCTGTGTGTTGCTCTCTTTCTATTTCTATGCCGCTTGCATTGGAATTAGAGCATTCAACCTTGATATTCTGCTGCACAGCTGAGCTGAGCCAAGAGCTTTACAAGTATACCTACCTATAGAGGCGACCTCCGCTATCGACTGGGCAAATGAGCAAATCAGCTTGTTGCTTCGCTTCAATAAATGAAAACGGAAGCTGTACAACTTTTCGTGGTAAGACTTTGCGCCTCACTCTCTGTCTCTGTCTCTGTCTCTGTCTTCCGCTCTCTCGCTCATGCTCGACGCACAGAGTCTGGCATTTGCTTATTAGAAGCCGTAGCATGACATTTCAATGGAATTGTATTTCAGCTCACCTTGTCCACTCCATCGAGCGACAAGTGGCACTTGCCGTGGTTTCCCTGTTCGAACCTCATTTGCTTTTGTGGTAGACCGACGGATGCGACGGATGCACAACATAATTAAATAGCAGGAAAACTAGTTTTCCCCATCAAACTCACTCAATAGACGCTGCACTTGACTTGTCATTGCCAAGCCAATAGCAAGCTGATTCGATTCTGTTAAGTTAATCAAGTCTCCATATTGCGTTGCAAATGCTACCTGTTGAGCACTCTCGCTCTCCTCTCCCTCTCTCTTACTCTTTCTTTCTCTGTGCAGGACTGTAATATCATTTTATTATTATTGATTTAGATTTCCACTTGTGCGACGTTGGTTGATTTCCTATTGCGTTGCATGCCTCTAAAACATCTGGCTCCATGCATTATGCATCCTGAAGTCACTGCAAATGGATGAGTAAACAGGTTGTATTAGGTTTGTGCAAGTATACATATATAACAGGTGGAGCAGAGAAGAGACAGTACGCGAGAACGGGAGCGAGGGAGTGATACTGAGGGCGACTCCATAAAGTATATGCACATATATACTTTTAATCCACAGAAGAAGCTGAGCCAAAGCAGATCGCTCTAGCCTAATCACCTCCTCGATTGATTGAAAATGTCGATCTTGAGAACTACTGGAGCTAGTTATTTAAAATTTGTAATGCATATTCTTATATACTAAGAGCAGCGCTAATTAAATATTTTCTTTCGAAATCTCTTCACATTCGATTAATATCGATAAATATCGATAGTTCAAGTTGGTTTTTAGCACAAAACCTCAATTCCATAAAAGGTAAAAACATCAAAATTGCTCTGTAGTTCAAGACAATGTAAACGTAAACATAGCATGCATAGAAATAAACATGTAAAACAGAAAATCTCAGATAGTAGACTCACGTCTTGAAGGTCGCTCAATGAGAACCCAAGTAGAATCGGTCAATTGGTCAAAGAGCAAGTGGTACACATACATATCTATAATACTATACTTGTCTATGAAAGAGTCCTGTTATACTCGGTACAGGGTATTACCTAGTCAAGCATGCCGACTACAATAGTTTTGCTCTTTGCTTAAACCACTTTCCAGTGTAGCGATGCTGCAACATAAAACTGAGACGCCAGTTGAAGTAAGTAGCGCCAATCCGAAGGGTGTTCGAGTGGGATTTGAATTGACCTCGAACCAGTTATTGTCCTGACATATTGCACATTCGACTCGATTCGACTCGACTTTGTTAGGCTTTAGTCAGAGTTCCATTAAGTGTTGATGCGCAACTTTTACTAATGCTTGCTCGAAACTTATGAACTTTGTTGATATTATTCAGTGTCTGGTGGGGCAAACCCTATATGACAGATACATTAAGCGCAAATTGTAAAGGCTGTTGGGTGGTTGGGTGGCTGGGTGACCCGTGGTCAGCTTTGTGGTTTGTGCGTTTTACAGCAAATCAATGATCCGCCCAGTGGGCTGTGAAATTTTATTAGCACAAAATGATTTCATGTGCCAAATATTTGGTTAAATTGGCACTGACTGTTCGTAATGCGGAGGCCGGGCCCAGACGGTTCGGTTAATGGCAGCGCGCTCTGAATTTTACGAGCATTAACGGGGCGGGACACTGCGTATACGCAATGTGCGTTACAAATGCCAGCCACGCGTCAGAGCTGGGCGTTTAAGTGCACTTTGGCTTTAATCTGCAAGCAGAATTAATGTGCTTATCGATGCTTGAGATAAAAATGAAAATAAAGATGATGCTGATGATGACCAAGATAATGATGATGTTGTTTAACGCTTGTCGCCTTCTCGTCTTTTCTTTGCAGGCATTTGGTACAACAGTGAGCGAGACCACCGCGATTGGGTACGCGTTGCCGGGCGATAGTACCCATTGTACCCTGTCAAAGGGTTGAGACCATCATCACTGCGCAAATCGTCCTACTCCAACAGCAGCAGCAGCTGCAGCAGCATCAACAACAGCAGCAGCGCCTGTCCCCCGCCGCCGCCCACGCCGCATCAGATCCAAACAAACGCCAGCACCAGTCAGCACCAACAAAGGCACCAACAACAGCAGCAACAGCAACATCAGCAGCAACAGCATCCACAATACAGACGCAACAGCAGCAGCTTGGCAGCGAAGCCTGCCATCAATTTGCTCAGCAATCGACAGCAGTTCAACTACTTCGAGTTCCCATCGCCGACTCGCAGCGGCAGCTCTTTGCTGGCCAATCGATACACCGCTGCAGTCTCCACACCGGCGCTCGACTGCAATCCCGGCACGAGCTGCAACAGCCACAGCAACAGCCACAGCAATTGCAACAACAACAACAACTACAACAGCAGCAGCTACAGCTCTGCGGTTGCCAAAGCGGCTGCTTCAACTGCTTGTGCTCTACTTGCCACGTGCCACGTGGCCAGCAATTCGTCCACAGCCCCAGCTCCGGCACCAGCACCAACCCCAACCCCAACCCCAACCACCTGTCAACCAGAAACCACAAACAGAGAGAGCATGGGTCGACGTGAGATTAAACGCTCCAATACCAGTGGCTCCACCTCCAGATCCTATGACAGCGGCAGCGGTAAGTACTTGTAAGACCAACCGATAGTAACAATGTCTAGTGCCCTAGAGTGCTCTTCGTGGGGAGTGCATGACCAAGTGATACTCTCTTCTACTCTGCACTCTGAGTATATATCTTTATCGATAATTTTCATCAATAGCATTTTCAGCATATAAACTGAAATATATCTATTTGGGAAGCATGTCAAGCACTTTACTTACCTCATTTGAAATTATGTATCTATAGTCTTGAAGTTGGTTGGGAAGGAATGAGATTTGATCTGAGCAGTTTTGATTTTTGATTCATTTTGTAAATCATTTCTCCTTTACACTAATCCTTTGATCTGGATTATCACAGTAGCTCGTGGGTAATTTACAATTTGTACATTTTTTTAGAACTCTTGGGAACTGAGAAAATTTTTGAAATCTAAATTTTTGCCTGCATGAACTGATCTTTAAATTAATTCTTCTTCATAATGCAAATAAATCTTAGAATTTTTGAATTCGTGTTTTAGGATATCTAACTATGAAACAACAGAACATTAAGATGTGCTAGATATGTCAAAGATATTTACATTTGTTATCGATTTCTATTGTAAAGTTATCGATATTTTTAACGAAACGCATCTACATAGGATGTAGAGCAAGATAGAGACTCATAGAGAAGGAAGATTTTATAGTCGTATAAATAATACAGATAATACTTTAGCTATATTGACTCGGCACTTGATGCTGATCCATTTCTTAGTAGTATACCCTCTGCACTGATCCACGCCCTTTTAAGCCCCTTCCTAGAGGTTAAACCTTGCCTCAGCAACAGCTTTCAGTTTATTTCAATTCAGAAGTGGCTGACCAACTCTGTGCAGCACAACAAACGGAACACACAAATCAATTAAGCCAGAGAGACAATGGCAGGCGAGTGGGCGTGGCATTATTAAAACCGCGACGTAATCGGCTTAGAGGGTCGCTGGCAGGTCTGTAAATACGATTGCGAGTGACACTAGGCTGACAAATTAAATCAGCTGAGATTTGTTGTCAAGTTGTCAGCCAGCTGTCGAGGGAATTGAATATGTGAAGGCTTCGAGGATGGCCCAAGCACAAGGAATGCCAATTGGCTGCAGCTGAAATATATATATACTTAATACTGTATATATCTAAATGTGTATACGTAAACAACAACAAACTTGTTAACGGTGGTGAGCATTTATTAGTTTTGGTTTACAGTCTGCACAATATACACCTTAACTTATATGTAAATACTATGTTAGGCGAGTACGAGTATTAAATTTATAATTGTGTATGGTTGTGTGTTTACACACAAGTTGGGAAGTGTAAACAAAACATTCGACTAGATTTCTGTTGTTCCATAATATGCATTAAAATAGTAGTCAAGGTCTAGGAAAACAAAAGCGAGGCATATGTAGCATATATTGAATCGATATAGATGCGAAGGTACAGTACCATGTTGATAATATGGAGTTACGATAATTCCTATAGTAGGCATGTTGAAGCACTGTTTTCAAAGCAGAATCAGGAATACCAAAATCAATTGCTCGACCACATCCGAAAGGAATAGAGACAACTTTTGACTTAGGGTATCTGAGTATCTGGCACTTCTACTCAACAAGGCATGAACTGCTGAGCAATAGAAGCGAACTTATCAGCCTAAAAGAGCTAACATCTCTGAGGAAAAAAAAAGATTTTTCAAAAATTTTAAAACTTGTTCTTAAAGATCTTTCTTATGAAAAAGTTTTCAAATGTGCCTGAAATGCGAGTTTCTCGAGCCAGCAAATGCCGAAAGCAGACGTGATTCAGATCTATGTATGCTGGTGTCGAGATCAGTTTAGCAAACTATTCAATTTGATTCTTCTTCATGGCAAATGGGTGATGACTAAGAGCAAATAGAGAGTATTTCAGCGAGGTGTTGCTCGCAGCCCCGTCGGTGAAAACAGTCGTAAAGCGGACCCAGCGATTCCAGGCTGCAGCACTGCTGCGAGGCGCGATGACAGGCCGTGCCTAATGCATAGCTGGACTCCTGCGGGAATAGCACGGCATCTGCGAAATAACAAATCAAATCGATTTAGTTGGCAAAGCCCCTCGGACACACATGGCTCTCTATGTACTCAGCTCACCTTGTCGAAACATGGGACGTGGCTGTTGCTGTGGCTGGGGCAGTGTCTGGGGCCTTGGCTGGAGCGTTATGGCCCAGGGGGGCGACTGGAAGACGGGCGCGCTGATGCCTGCAAGTGGAAGAAATGGAAGTGTGAGCGCATGCATGCGGGTGATTAGCCAACCAATAAGAACTTAATGCATTTCCACTCCACCAAGCACTGGGTGCAGCGCCCCAGAGACCCAACACAATGCAGTTAGTAGCTGTGGCAACAGAAGCGATTGTTGCCACGGTTGCATGCAACACATTTGCGGCAGATGTGGGTTAGATAATGCCCCACTCCAGACAGACTCAAGCAACTTTGAATTGAATGAGACTTTGCAGTAAGACAGCATATGGTTATAATAGATACATTAAGAATGAAGAAGAAAATAGAATGCGCAAGAAAAAAAATAGTATAGAATAGAGTTATAGATCCACACCAAAATAAATATAAGCATTGCAGTTGGCTGTCACCGACTTTTCATACACGTTCACGCTTGAATAACACTTTGTCTTTATTGAGTTTTACGGCTGCATTTTATGAGTCCATTCCAAAAACTGTAAAGGATATTGATTTTTTGATATGCCAACCCACGGTGGGCGTGTCAATCTATAGAAAATGTTAAGACTGACACGTTCTTAAATGAGAAATTTTGAGAAAATGGGCAAAAGAGATAGATAGAGAGAGAGAGAGAGAGAGAGAGAGAGAGAGATAAGTTAATAAAAGGAACAAGCCTTGTTGTACTGTATTATCCTTGTCTTTAACTGTATATCGTTTATACCCGACTGTTCATATCTTCCCTCTTTAAAAAATATATACGACTATACCTATAAGCCAAATTCAAGTCCCTAGTCTGGTTTCATATAGACAAAAGTATAGATGAATAGGAATGGAAAGACGAACGAACGGATATACGGATGTACGAATCGACGGATGAACGGACGGAGAGAGGGACGATTAGATCGATAGATAGATTTGCGGTTAGAGGGATGGACAGATAAGCGGAATGATGGCTGGATGTCTATCCGGAAGAACGACTTAGAGTCCTACGGACAAGACGGACGGAGTGTTTTCAAGTGCAGATCGAGCATATTAAATAAGCATGCGTTATCAAAATTGTTGAATTTAGTCAAAAACCGGGTCGCATTTAGTATTGATCAAAAAGATTCTTTATTTTCAATATAAAATGAAAGCTTAAAACAAATTAAATTGTTTTCCTGTATAGCTATAAATAAATATTACGGCAGTCGAGCGACTCTCGCTGATTGCCTCGCTCTACATCGACATATCGGTCTATCGACCCAGCGATTGATCGATCACGCTAGTCTGGCTATCGCGCTGTTGCGAATGTTTTCGGCACATGGATTCACGCCCCAGAAGGCGCCATGGCAGCCGAACTCCTCAAAGCAGTTGTAGCGAATCTTGGTGCTGCCCTGCGAGCAGCAATTGACAATGGCCCAGACACACTTGGACACCTTGGCGGTGGTGGGTCGCGGTGGTGCGCTGGTCACGGTTGACTGCGGGCGTGACCACGGTGGCGGTTGCGTGGTTGGTATCCGTGCTGCGGCGTAGTAACGAGAAGGTGAATGTAAGTTAAACAGAGAAGAAGAAGAAGAAGAAGAAGGAGTAGAAGATGAAGATGAAGCGAGGATTGTTAGTCAAGTTCTTTATGGAATATATGCGGAGGGGATAACTAGATAACCAAGTTATAAGACACAGAGAAGCTCATTGTTGGCCAAGTTAATGAATGACAAGAGCGAACTACAACAGAGTAAAGTCTAATTGGCTCGACTGGGCTTACCTGGTCGGCGAGCTTCACTTGGACTCCAAATAGGTGGCTGCTCTACTTCTGCAAGTTGTACCAAAATTGATAACTTTGCCAATTCGATAAATATTCAAGAGACAAACTCACCTTGCACGGGCCAGAAGTTGTTGTTGTTGTTTTGGTCCGCAATCGTGTTACTCGGCGGGGGCTGATCGAACACAGAGAAGTCTGCGTCAGCCGGATTGGAGTTGTGGAAGAGGCTGTTCTCGTCATCGGTATCTAAGCGAGTGCCGATACTTGCGGGCTCCTTGGGCGGCGCATCAGTCCGCCAGAAGGGAAGTTTTCCCTGGTACTTTGGGGGCTTGCCGATCGTTGGATAGCTATATGTTATATACAAGTATTCCTTATCAATATCAGCTTCAGTCTTCAGTGCATTGTCTTTAGAGCTTACCGATAGTATTGCACTGGCCGAATGGGCAGATAGTGGGGCGCCGGCACTGTGTGATAGTAGACTGGCTCTGGCTGTGGCGCATAGAGGTCGTTTCTATACAGCTGGCGCACATTCTGGTTGTAGGCGTGGCGACGATGACGACGGTGATACTTCTTGGGATACTTGTGCAGTGACGCCTCCTTCGTCGGCTCCTCTGTCCGCTGCTTGCTCTTGTCGTCGTCGTCGCTCAATATTAGCGGCGTCTCGGGCAGCACATCGAAGAGAATCTTCTCCTCCTCCAGCGCTGGCTGCGCAGTGGCTCGACTATGATGATGTCTTGTGCGCTGTGTGCGCTTGTACAGCTTGGGGTAGATGGACTTGGTCTCATTTTTAGTCGGATCTGGAATGGTAGTAGAAGGGAGAAGTTTAGCTATCAGCAAGGCGGTCTGAAACTACAAAGAGCCTTATCAAATTGAAGCGGTCTAGTGGGGGCTCTGCAACTAGTGGTGGTACGATTAATTCTATGATACAGAATAATCGATTTTTTTTTATTCCATTGGCGATTTAATTGTATCGCGAAATGTGTTGCAATAAATTTAAACCATAATCGATTATTTAGAAAAAGTAATTAATAAAATTGTATATAATACAATATGTTAAAAAATAAACAAAATAAATAAATAATTTAATTAATGATTAAGTAATAAAATATGATTCGATCAACAAATTTTTTTATACAGTTAGGGTATCTGAAATTATTTTTTCTCTTTGCCGAAAACCAATTTACATTCTAGAAATATCTCTTTTGCCTAAAGGATATAGTCTGAGAGGTGCAGCTGGATGTAGCCAGGCTAGTTAGTAAGTTAAAGATCTAACCTCTTGGGGATAAAAAATGTGAAAGTCTTCAAAGACTTTCAAATGAAAAAAAAAATCTAAAAATGTTAAAGGGTGTTATAGGTGACTCAACTGCGCCCTCTCTGAATCCTGACACATTATAACACGATTCCCGTTACAACTTCGAATTAAACTCATTTAAGTGGTTGGCAAAGTCTAGTCTCGCTCTTGTTTGCTAGTTCTCGTTGAGCTGTGTCATTCGGCAAAGGCTTTCAGTGGTCAGTGCTTACCGTAATCCTCGTTGACAAAGTCCTCCTTGTACATGATCACCGGATGATCCTCGTGGTTAATGCCATCCACGACCTCCACATGATGAATCTGTGTGAGAAGTAATGTGGTTCAAGTGAGAGTCGAAGCAAAGTCTCAGCCTCAGCTGGTCGTAGTACCTCAATATTGTCAGCACCAGGCGGCAAGGTTGAGCTGTCGCCCTCGCTCTCGGTCGAGGGGCGACTCGCTGTGTGATCCACGCAGAGCAGGAGGAGCGTCAGCAGCAGCACTGGGAGTGCATGGCAAAGTTTAGTCCGCGTCGTTCGGTTCATATCCTTCGGTTCGAGTCGGTCTGCAATGGCGAAATTGGGGTGAAAATGAAAATTCATCATCATTCGTCAAGTTTTATTGGCCCCAACTCAATCTCAATTAGTTGAGTCCCGAAACTTTTGCCAACTGCAAATTTTATTGTGGCTCTGTTTTCGGCTTCTCGCCAGACTTTGCGGCTTGTTTTAAATTAGACATCGAGTTTAGCATAATAATTTTTCTTTTGCCCTTTTTTTTGCTTTTTGTTACATGTTTCGTCTTGTGGTTAACTTTTGTATTACTTTTGTTCCGACAACTGTTCTCCTCTGCTCTCTCCCCTCTCGCCTCTGCCCTCCTCTCTATCCAACAAAGCCTTCGAATTATTGTGGCGCCCTTCGCCACTAACCAGCATAACCAAAGTGGTCAGACTTGTTTAGACTTTGAAGTGGAGCTCACAGAACTGTGCTTGCTTCTAAAGTCGAAACACACACATACACACACAYACACACACACACACACATGCATGCACCTTGACTAGGTTTCAAAACTTATTTACATAAGTTGAGCACTGTTTACTTAAGTTATAAATATTACTTAGTTGATGCAGCAAGATAAATGTTTTCAAATTTAAATTCATTCTTTTTGATATATTTTATTAAATATTTGTATATATTTTTTTTTAAGTAGGACTCGCTATTCTCATTCTTCATTTAAAAAGCGGAGCACAAAATTTTCAATATGTAAATCATTTCAATATTCTTTTTTACTCAATTTTCAGCACATTTTAAAATTTTCAATTGAAGTTTATAGAACAAATGTTACAATTTTGTGCTGTATTTTAAGTTTTAGATATTCAGTTAAAATTATTGATATATTCAATTATTTTTTAAATGTTTAACTTAAATATTTTTTGTAGTTAGTTTTTTCAATCAAAAGTAGTTAGTTAT